GGGGAGGGTTAGAGGGAGAAGCAGGCTCCCCGCCGAGCAGGGAGCCCGATGCGGGACTCGATCCCAGGACTCCAGGATCATGACCTGAGCCGAACGAAGGCAGTCGCTCAACCAACTGAGCCACCCAGGCGCCCAAATAAATAAACTTTTAAAAAAACAAAACAAAAATTTTCTTAGTTTTAGTATCTTTTATGGAAATACTGACAGACACAACCCACATAAATGAAAGCTCTTTGGTGTGCACAGGGGTCCTGAGACCAAAATGCTTGAAAACTGCTGCTACAGACAAATAGCTCATAGTTTATCTACATAAATGTCAACTGAAACATAAAAGAGGAAAAAGTAATATTTTTCATTTCTTATGAGCACATAATCTGTGAAAGAAGTACAAAGGTGGAAGAAACGAATAGGTTATCTTTTAAAACCTTTTTTTGAGTAACGGAGCAATAGTTAACTTGTGGTCTTCTATTCCAATGTCAATATAAAATAAAAATTAAAAGACCATGTAAAGAAAAGCAAAGGGGATACTGAATGGACTCCTGTCATCTTTTCCGTGATTACAAACTGAAAGCAGTTACAGATACACAAGTTATATAATCCAATAGGCCAGTTCTTAGCCCAACTTCAACAAAATCTTAATTTTTACCCAACTAGAGGCACTACTAACTATGCCTAGGACTTTAGATCCTTTAAGCAGAGAGTGGTCACAGCTGAAAATTCAGCCTTACTCCATAGGTTATTATATTTCAAAGTAATCAATCACTATCACTACTTACTTCAATCAGAAAATGAAGAACTCACCTGTAAATCATATGGCTTTCCAGCCCTCACTAAAAAACTCAGTAATATACTGGTGTGTGCAAAATGGACATTCTCATCCAAGAATCCATGTAAAAGTAGTAAACGATTTGGTCTAGAGAAATGGAAAGATTACAGGATTAGGCAAAATAGAGTACTTGGGAAAACCACTTAACTCCTCTGATCACAATTAACTATTAGTTAATATTACAGTTATGTAATATATCCGACTATATATAGTTATATAATATACAATTATATAAAAACAAATATAACTATATAGTAATATAGTTAATGTTAATAATAGTTAACTTCCTTATAATTTTTTTAAACATTTTATTTATTTGAGAGAGAGAGAGAGCATAAGCAGAGGGAGTGGGAGAGGGAGAAGCAGACTTCCCGCTGAGCCGGGAGCCCGACTCGGGGCTCAATCCCAGGACTCCGGGACCATGACCTGAGCTGAAGGCAGACGACTAATGACTGAGCCACCCAGGAGCCCCGAGAATTCAACATTTTCAATAATAAATTTATAATATATAACCAGATACTACATATAATGAAAAATTATGTGTTCTATTTCTTATGATGATCTTAGCATCTATCAATAATCATAGCATGTCCCTAGGGAAAGAAAAATCATAAACATTGTCTATAGAATATATTTAAGCAGAAAGAGAATTTTTTCCACCCTGAAACAGTTATATACTTTACTTCTTTGAGTACAGTAATTGCTTCAAATATAACTTGTAAAAAAAAAAAAAAAACAGGTTAGATGAACTGGCCTGTAATTCAGCTTTGAGAAATAGCTATGCCATTTGAGTAGTCTATATAATATTAGTCTTGGGGTGCCTGGGTGTCTTGGTCGTTGAGTGTCTGTCTTCGGCTCAGGTCATGATCCCGGGGTCCTGGGATCGAGCCCCGCATCGGGCTCCTTGCTCAGCAAGGAGCCTGCTTCTCCCTCTCCCACTCCCCCTGCTTATGTACCCTCTCTCGCTGTCTCTCTGTCAAATAAATAAATAAAATCTTTAAAATATTAGTCTTGGTTTTGCAGTATTTGTAGTTTTCATTGTTATTAAAGACAAATTTTAACACTACAATTTTAAATTTATAACCTGAATTTTAAAGCTTGAACTTACTCAGAGGGAAACTTCTCTGCTTGCATGGCCACAGATCCTAAGTAATAGCCCTGTTCATTCTGGTCAGGGTGGCCCATATAACGTTCTGTGTAACCTGTATCATAGAAGATCCACAGAGTGACTGGGGCCCCAGCAATAGCAACCTACAGAAGACAACAATAACAGTCAAGTGTGGTCCAGAAAAGAATGGCTAGCAATGAGAATGTGTAACTGCAAATTTATAGGCTAAAATTATCCTTAGGCTTTAGCCCCACAACTGGGGCATACATGGTCTCAGGCAACTCAGAAAATCAAAGTGGAGTGCCAAGGTCAAGAATTTGATACTTTGTGAGTCAGTGAGCTTCATGTTCCACAGGCATGCCAAATATCAAACCCTTAACCTGGGCTAGTTGAAATATACACTGGGGCCCCTTTGTTAAAAGGCGAGACTGAACTAGAACATATGAATGCCTCAGTGTAAACTCATTCCTGCTGCTGGGGGAAAAAAGTGTGACAAGTGTCAGCTTTATATAGGAAAAGCAGTCATTTCTTTTTTCTTTTTTAGCCTCTGCTGGCAGTACAGAATTTTTAACAATGAATGAAATATATTTAAGCACTGAACACTTTCCTCATTTTAAGGTTCCCACACACAGTTTTATACTTAAATATTCTAATTACTTTCTTGACAGCTGCAAGCCTGGGAAAATTATGGCAGTTTTCAGTTTATTTTGTGGTTATTATAAAGATTATCTGAATATACATGCAAGAACAAAAACCCTATCATTTTCATTCTTAAAATTATTTTTCACTGTAAGAAAAAATCACGTTATTGAAATAGTAAAAAAGAAAAACACATCATAATTGCCATTTTCTTAACAACCTTTGGCATCTTTATTATTTCCTTCTAACATATTTCTCTAGGAAGTTGTTTATAAAATTGTAACCATCATTTATATATTTAATACGGTATTCATTCAATAAAGATTTACTTAAGACCTACTATGTGCCACGCATTGTGCTTGGCTACTGAGGATACAGTGATGTGAAGGGCACGCAAGTCCCTGACATCAGAGCTTGCAGTCCAGCAATTAAATAAGTAATTACAATCCAATATGCGAATGCGTGCGCGCATGTGTTTTACTAATCATGACTATCTCCCATAATCTTTGGCGTGTCTATAAATAGCCAACAACTGGTCATCAAGATAACAAGTGTTTTTTAATATACAGATAGATAGATATGTAAATATATTTCTTACATGGCTATCACAAGTTGACAAGATACATCTATTATCTCACATGACTGTTAGATACACAAATCCTAACATTCCATAATATTGCCAACTCTGTAAACCTTCAGAAAATAGGCACTTTCTCATATCCTCAATTTATTGAAACTTCTACCCCTATTGCAAAAAGAAATACAATAGGAAACCACATACCCTGAAGATATCTGACCTCTGCATTAATGCCATCAGGGACAGGTATCCTCCATAGGACCAGCCATGGATGCCCACACGATCTAAGTCAATGAAATCATATTGAGAAGCTAGATATTGGAGTCCTTCCACTTGATCATCAATTTCTATTTGACCCTGTCAAAAAAGGGAGAACATTTCACTGATTCTGCTGAATAGAAGTCTCATCATCAGAGTGTTTTTAAAGCTGATAAATGGTTTTCACTAAAAATACCTGTAGTATTTTTTAATAATTCATTATCAATTGAGATTCTGTTGCCCGAAAAGAAATTTTTTAACTCTATTTAGAGATAGGGGCCTATAGCTTCTGTTGCTAGCCAGTCCTAGAGTTTAGTTACCCCTTAGTCACAAAGTTCTTTCCTACTGAGGCCCAAACTGTTCCTTGCTATATGGGTATTTCCCCTTTCCATTTGTTCTGTTGTCTGCTAAGAGGTCAGCATCTTCCTTGTAACAAGCCTTCCTATACCCAAAGACAAAAAATTAGCCCCCTTAAGTGGTTGACTAATTTTACTTCTTTTTAAAACTTAATGCAGTAAAGCAGAAGGAATCACTCCCGAGGTCTTATTCTCCTATTTCCCCATCATCTACTTCTAGGAACTGAACATATGCTATTTCTTTAAATCCTATTAAGTCCTAATTCCTACCACCACCACCCTGTCTGTATTACTAGGCCTGCCAGTGCACACAATCTCCTTCACTGAGCCAAAAACAAAAATAAAAACAAAAAAAACTTACATGAGAATACAACATAAGGTCAAAGAACTGGCTGTGGGAGAAAATCCCATGTCTTACTCAGCATGTCCAATACACTGGCAAACACAGTAACTGCCTTACTGTGTAAAAGGAACATCGGATTCTCATCATTTCCCAAAGCAGCAGAAAGGACATGGGGCATCTCTAAAAGGTAGCATTTAAAGCTTCCTGTAGAGAGAAAGAGGCTTGTCACAAGGAAGGCACTAACCAGTTGGTTTCTCTCTTCACAGAGGACAGAACAAATCTCAATTATTCCTCTCAATAGGGCACAGGATGCTGAAAACTATGGTGCTGCTTTCTGGCTAAGCTGGATATACATCATAGGAAGAAAGGGTATTTCTGTGTAAAAGTGGTTCTATCTCAGCTCCCCAAAGTTATATACAGGTAGACAGGCAGATGTGAGCTAGCCTAGTGAATACCAAGTTGCATCTTCCCTCCCACCCCTGAACTATAACACACAGACACACAGACACACACACACACTCTCTCTCTCTCTTACTCTCTCTGCCCCGCTCTCGCTCACTCACAGCCCCTTCCCCCAACTTGCTCTCTGAGATTTCACACCAAATAATGAACCAGAAAATGTAAATGTCTTTAAAAGAAAAATGTTTATATGCTCACACACCATTTTGTATTTAAAGGCGCCTTCAAATTTAAGCCCTCGGTGACAGGATCCCCTGTTGTCTATCACTACAACCACATAACCCAGAGAGGCTAGGGTATTCAAGCGGAAATACTTGACTCCTTTAAACCGGTTATTCACCAACTGCACCTGAGGAAGAAATACAACTTCAGTGAAATGTATTATATGGTAGCATAAAAAAGCAAAAGAGGCAGGATGCTGTGAAAAATAGAAAGCTTGAATTTTTTGTATTATTTTGCTTTTAAAATGAAATTTTATTTTCTTGTGGCAAGAACACTTATCACAAGATGTACCCTCTTAACAAAATTTTAAATGTACACTACAGTATCATTAACTATAGGACAGTGTTGTACAGATCTCTAGAACCTTTCATCTTGCATAATTGAGACTTTGTGCTTGGTGATTAGCAACTCCCTATTTCCCCCTCTCCTTGACTTATTTTTAAATTAACTTAAATTTCTCTTGTTTATGTGGTTTCTTTTTTTTTTTAACTTCACACTCAAGGTTCAGGGCAATTACTGAGCAACTAAAGACTTTAAAACTGTAACCAAGATATTCTTTACATATGAGACAAGAGATTTAACCTACCCCATAGAAAAAGTAACTAAAATCATTACTGCTACTCTGAAGAACTGTATCATTCAAATTACAGAGACAAGAATAAATAAGATCATTTTTCTTCCCTACCCGTCTCTTCTGGGGTTGTCCCTGACCAGCAGTAGAAAAATTTAGTATTTTAATGAAACACTGTGACCAGTCCAGCTTCCTTTTTCTTGTTATACAAATCAGTGCAAAAGGTAGGATAATTCTTAAATCACTTATCATGCTACCATACTTCAAAATGACTGAGGAATTAAATGTGGTTTAGTGCCTCAACAGAAATAAACTAGTGAAAAGAGGACTTCATTTTTTTTTAAGTTTTTTATTTATTTAAGTAATCTCTACATCCAACATCGAGCTTGAACTCACAACGCAGAGATTAAGAGTTACATGCTCTTTGACTGAGCCAGCCAGGTGCCCCCAAAAGAGGATTTTAATTAGTAGAGAGAAATTTAGAGAAGTTCAGGGTTTGGTGGACACTAAGATAGACATTAAACAATGACAAAAAAGGTTCTGTCAAAAATGAAAGTTTTTTGTTTTTTTTTTTAGGATTTATTTATTTAGAGAGAGTGAGCATGTGAGCGAGTGGGGGGCTGAGGGGCAGAGGAAGAGGGAGAAGAGAATCCCAAGCAGACTCCCCAGTGAGCATGGAGATCTATGCAGGGCTCCATCTCACAAGCAGGGCTCAATCTCACAACTGAGATCATGACCTGAGTTGAAACCAAGAGTGGGACACTTAACAGACTGAGCCACCCAAGCCCCCTAAAAATGAAAAGTTTTTTTTGGCTGAAACCAACAGGAAAACCAAATCAGCCACTTAAATAAGAATCGACACCATCTTCACACAGTAAATACATACTGAGCGTTTATTAGGATAGACTGGGGTGTGTGTGCCATGTGTAGAGAATCTTCTCTTTTTGAATTTCTGGATATTCAGTACCTCTGTAACAACTGCAAAACTGGTCTTCCTGTTTCTACTCTTGTCCTCCTACAGTCTATTCACACAATAGCAAAGGGATGATTTTAAAATGTAAATTACATAAGACTTTATAGCTTAGCTCCCTCCAATAGTAAAGAGTTCAGATCTTATTCTAAGATCCTTATCATTGCCTTTTAAGACCTTATATTATCTGGCCATTGGTTTTTTCTCTGACCTCATCTCATACCAAATCCCTACTTGTGTACTATACTATAACCTTATTATCAACTATACCAACTTGATTCTAATCCCCAGGACCTTGACATTTACTGTTCCCTCTGTCTGGAATGCTCTTCCCTCAGGTCTTTAAGGTGGTTCACTCCTTCTCATCTTATGTACCCTCAGAGACCTTCCCTGAACTTAACAGAACTCCCATTTTAGTCTCTTTGCAATCCTCTTTCCCAATAATTATTCATAGCATATCCATTATATTAAGTTACATCATTTATATGTCTAGTCATTTATTATTTTCCTCATTAAGCTCCATGAGGGGGGGACCTTAGTCTGATTTGTTCGCTGTGGTATCCTCACTGCCTAGAATAGTACCTGTTACATACTGGGAACTCAATGACTGTTTGCTGAACGAATGAATTAAAAATGGAGATAGGAGAATGATGTTTTCCCTTTCTTTTTAAAAAAATTATTATTTATTTTTTAAAAGATTTTATTTATTTATTTGACACAGGGAGAGCGAGAGAAGAAACACAAGCAGGGAAAGTGGGAGAGGGAGGAGCAGGCCTCCCGCTGATCAGGTAGCCCGATGCGGGGCTCGATCCCAGGACCCTGGGATCATGACCTGAGCCGAAGGCAGATGCTTAACAACTGAGCCACCCAATTTATTTTAATTGCAGTATAGTTAATAGCGTTTTCCCTTTCTCTCTTAGGAGGAGGAGCAAAAAAGGAGGGAGCTGAAAAAAGAAGTACTAGGCATAGAACACAAAAATGAGTATTTAAAGAAAGCTACTTCAGGGTGGCTGGGTGGCACAGTTAGTTGGGTGTCCGATTCTTGGTTTCTGCTCGGGTCCTGGTCTCAGGGTCCTGGGACCAAGCCCCATGTCTGGCTCTGCACTCAGCAGGGAGTCTGTTTGCGGACTCTCTCTCCCTCTCCCTCTGCCCCGCAACCCCCATGTGCTCGCACTCACTCTCTCTCTCAAATAAATAAATAAATCTTTAAAGAAAAAAAAGAAAAATCCACTTCACTGTTGTCTGTTGTCACACGCAAAAATGGCCTCAACTGTTGTCACACACGAAAGTGACCTCAACTGCCTGATACGAACATTTCCCCCAAGAGCCAGTGTTTGTGCCCTCACAGCCAGAGGCCTGCTACTTCTGGAGGAAGGTACTTAAACATAATGCCCTTTGGCACTGAGAATCAGAAGTCTCCTTCAGTATCAGTTCTTCAAAACCTGTGTCCTGCTATCACTTAGCCTGCTTTCTTGTACATTTATATTTATAAAAGTGTCTAGAGCACATAGGAAACATGACAAGGATTTGTTAAAACATACAGCTGTTATCAAGAAAGAGTTTAAAAACCTAAGCCTAGATGACTTTAATCAGAAATATTTGCTTTTCTTGGATTTCACTTTCGTCCAACTATAGACATTGCTGCAGTTAGTGACAAAGTAATTCACTTCATGTTACAAATTGTAACACTGTTGCCAGTCAAGATTCCCACTTTGACCTGAACATACACCAAGAAAGGACACAGTTTGGACTGATAATAAGATTTAATCAAAAATTTATTTTTATTTATTTATTACTTTTTATTTGAAAGAGAGAGAGAGCAAGCACAAGCAGGGGAAGTGCAGAGGGAGAGGGAGAAGCAGGCTCCCCGCCCAGCAGCAAGCCTGTTGCGGAGCTTGATCCCAGGACCCTGGTATCACGACCTGAGCCAAAGGCAGACACTTAACCTACTGAGCCACCCAGGTGCCCCCTGTGGCTTTTTAAACATCATTAGTAATAAGGAGTAATATAAAGGAGTTCTCTAGTCTTAAAGATCTACATAACCAGTTAGTCTTTATAGTGTGTTTGTCACATATCTCATATATCATTTCTTCACTGGAAAGGAGAAACATCCTTCTTACTTAGCCTTATTATCAAAATAATATACCAAAATATGTAAAACTTCTGAGAGTGTCTTGTAATTTCTCTCTTGCATTTCTTTGTATTAATCCTTTATTTTTAAAAGGATTTATTTGAGAGAGAGAGCACATGAGCAGAGGGAGAGAAGCAGACTCCCTGCTGAGCAGGGAGCCAGACACAGGGTAGGGCTCAATCTCATAAACCTGAGATCACGACCTGAGCCAAAACCAAGAGTCAGATACTTTAAACCAACTGAGCCACCCAGGCGCCCCAAGACTTTTTTTTAAAGTTTACAAAGATTTGGCTTCAAGTTTTTAACAGAAGGCTAATTTAGCTGTTTATAATTTTGTTTATGATTTACGTATAGATGAGTATAATACAAATGTGCATCATGTTTTGTTTGTAAAATACACTTAACAATGGCAAAGTGATTTAACTTGATATATGATGGCCATTGCTGAGATTTTGTGGCTTATGCAGTTATTTTGCTTTTATTTTATTTTTTGGATGTCTTTTTTTTTTTTTTTTTCTATTTTTAAAGTAAGCTCTACACCCAAAGTGGGGCTTGAACTCATGACCCTGAGCCGAGATCAAGAGTCACGTGCTCTACTGACTGAGCCAGCTAGGGGTCCCTATTTTTTGGATGTTTTAGCATCTGGATACATTTCCAGATACTGAATAACTGGATATAATTATGAAGGATATTTGCAGAGTCAAGAGCTGCATTATAAAAATGGTATAATTATATTCTAATTTCTTCAAAGGCCCAACAATAAGATAATCAATAAACATTTTTAAAAAGTGCCAATTAACCAATGCCCCTACCCCAATACTTTACTCTGACAGTCAACAGGATTTACTTAATATTCACATGCTAATATTTAATCCAGAAAAAGGAAAATCCAGGTGTAAACTTCTTACAATGCTGAATAGTAGTATAGCAGTTGCCTTAACTAGATGATAAAAGTATTCTAGTCTGCTTGAGAGATATAGACTTAGAATGAAAAGGGGGAATTCATTAGGCTACCAAGGCTTCTGAAAGTATCTATTAAAACTCTTTTTATTTACCAAGACAGTTAACTATTTAATTTCATTTCCCAAACAAGTGTCTTCTCTACATAAAAGACAACATATTTACCTACTGACATGAATATTCCATTGCTATGACAGTTTCAGTCCTACTGTAAATTAAGAAACTGACACTGATTTATTAAATTAGCCATGTAACAAAATTCAACTTCTAAATAGGAATGAGAACATAAGCCAGAGTCAAGAACAGCAGAGGCCCAACAATGCTCAAATCTTAACTTGAACAACTAGACATTTAAAAAACAAATCACCTAAAAAATACACACACACACACACACACACACGTATGTATATAAATATGCCCACCTGAGAGCTGGGTGGGGGGATGGGTGAAATAAGTGATGGGGATTAAGGAGTGCAGTTGTTGTGATGAGCACTGGGTGATGTACAGAATTGCTTAAACTAATATAACACTGTATGTTAACTATACTGGAATTAAAATAAAATTAAATTAAAATAAGTAAATATGCCCACCTGAGGACCACCATATATGAACAGCACAGTGGGGTACTTCTTTCCAGGCTGTAGATCATGAGGTTTGTACAGCATCCCATACAATGTAAATCCAGTAGTACTTTCAAAAGAGAAAATCTCTGGAGGGGTGTAGTCAGGAAGAGGACCTATGAGGAGATAACAAAAAAAGTACATAAAAGGAGTTCTTATGGGAGCTCTGCAATCTGAGAGCAAGGAAAAGAAACCATAAACCCACAACCCCCCACACAAATAAATGACCATCCCCCTTTCAGGTGATAAGCAAGAATCTTTATCTTTAAAAAAGAAAATCTAATGAATATATTTAATTATTTCAAAAGTAGATACACAATATTCTGAATAATCCCTGGAGCCTAGGAGGTATTCAGATGCAGAACTATACAAATACTTTGTGCTTGGTTCAGTGTAACTTAATGATGGTTAAGCACATACCTGATCAGAAACTGGAAGCACAAATTTAACTCAATTTAACTTGCTCACAGCAGGTGCTCAATAAACATTTGTTTCTGATCACTAGAGAATAAGCCTAACCAGGACCCAGAAAAAATGAAAGTCATGATCAGTCTTTGGTTTACCAAAGCTATACAGACTTATCCTAAGTCTGTGTGTACTGGATAATGTTACAATCTAAGCAGAGATCATCACCATATTACAAATTCTACTTGTGGACATTAGAACATACCCTGTGGTTTTGCACTAATTTCTTAACCCCTTAGCAGCTATTCATGAGTGAAAATACTTAACAGGAAAAAGGATTTGGGGAGAAAGTGGATTAAAGATACATAAAATTACTCCATTTTTTTGTTTAAGAAATCAAGCATTTAAAAGATAGATAATTCACAGTGCTCTTCACTCCCATACAGAACAAGTGTTCTACCTTTTATTAAGATGACCACTGTAAGTGCTTTAAAAAGTTAAAGCTATCAGCTGGTTATTCCCTAAAGCTTCAGCTTCCCTGCTCAGTCTTACTAGTTCTGTGTACATTATCCTCATCTGTTTATCTGAGAAATTACCCAAACATGTGAACAAATCATTTCTTAGCTGATACTGTGACTATTTTATGCTTATTTTCAAAAAGGCCCTCCAGGGGCATCTGGCTGGCTCAGTTGGAAGAGCGTGCGACTCTTGAGCTAGGGGTCATGAGTTTAAGCCCCACATTGGGTGTAAAGACTGCTTAAGTAAAAAATTAAATTAAATTAAAAAACTTCAAAAAGGCCTTCCAGACCTGCTCCTGCCTGGAATGGGAGGTAACCCATCTTATCTGGTGGTTGATAGAATAGGAAGGGTGGGATTAATCAGGAACTCAGCAGCTCAGGGACAAGTGGTGGTGAGAGATGAGAAATGTGGATCTATGAAACAGACTTAGTGCACTTATGTACTAATCCTACTTAAAATCAGGCTCAGGGAAACGAGTACCTGCTGAATCCAAAATGGTGGCCCAAAATTCCTTTGTTTTGCAAGTTGGGTCATCTTCAGGACTTGAAAGCTTGTAAAGGGACACACAGTGTGGATTCTTCTGGTTACTGTACTTACTTATAAAGAAGTCACAATGCTAGAGAAAGGAGAAACAATTACTTTTTCCCTGTGGAAAAGTAAAAAAGGTGCTCCATCTGCGCTGGTGCTAGAGCAGAAGTATGGTTGAGAGTCTGACCACTGACGTCCATATACAAGGCTGAAGTTAAGAGTAGACTTCTTAGGGCGCCTGCGCGGCTCAGTCGGTTAAGCGTCTGCCTTCAGCTCAGGTCATGGTCCCAGGGTCCTGGGATGGAGCCCCGCGTAGGTCTCCCTGCTGGGCGGGGAATCTGCTTCTCCCTCTGCCTCTGCCCCTCCCCCCTGCTCATGCATGAGTGCTCTCTCAAATAAATAAATAAAATCTTTAAAAAAAAAAAGAGTAGACTTTTTAGGGGAGCCTGAGTGGCTCAGTTGGTTAAGCGTCTGCCTTTGGCTCAGGTCATGATCTCAGGGTCCTGGGATCGAGTCCTGCATTGAGTCCTGAATCAAAGCCCCACATCAAGCCCCGTATCGCACTGGGCTTCCTGCTCAGCCAAGAGCCTGCTTCTCACTCTCTCTCTGCCCACTACCCCCGCTTGTGTGTACTCTTTGGTTCTCTCTCTCAAATAAATAGATAAAATCTTTAAAAAAAAAAAAAAGAGTAGACTTTTTAAAGTTTTTTCTCAGAGAATCAGACTTCAGCAGGCCAATTTCACTGATTTTCACATTACTCTAAAGGAGTATTACAGCAGAAGGTCTTTTATATGATAGGAAACTCTTTTCCAACAGGGACTAATACCTGGCTGATGCAGCAAGAGTGGGAATAGCCACGGTCGGTCAGCCTTGTCACCTCTCCAGGGTTTACGTAACTGACCACGTATAGGTGATGTTCCAAAGGAGAGTCCTTGGTGCCTTCAAAATATACCAGCTTCCTGACTTCATCAACCTGGATCTGTCAAAAAAACAACAATAGAAAAATCAGTGCTAGCAGGACCTTGGCCAGGCTAGTAATTCAACAACCAATTCCCAATTTTAATTAGAATCATTTGAGTCACCCTTCAACTTGTGCCTCTTAAAACATTTTGCCACCAATGTTAATAAACCTGAGTTGGTTTTGCTTATGACTTTTACCTAAGAATAGATCTTGTCCACAAGGAAAAAGGACACTTGAATTGCATGCTATTATTAGTTTCCTATATGACTGAAACGTGGGCTTTTCTTAAAATGCAAGAATTATTTTATTATAACGACAACATTTTACAGGGAAAAAACATACCTATATTGCAGCTGAGGTCAACCATTCATGCACACTTAAAAGAGTCTAATTTTAGAATCCAGTGTATTTCTCAGTGCAGTATTATCTTAGGCAGTACTTTTTTGGTCTTTTGTACAAACTTGCAAAAGTATTTTATCTACTGGGTTGGGAAATAACTGAACTCAATTACAGTTTCAATACTGGTATAGTTTATAAATAAGTATGGGTAAGATCTTTTAAGTCTTCATTCAGAACTCAAAAAACTGTAAGTAAACTCACAGCTGAATTAATTTAATATTCTTCACAAATTACAGTAGGAGTCTAAATAAATGGCTTTTATTGTCCCTTTAAAAAAATCTTTTACCAGGGCGCCTGGGTGGCTCAGTTGGTTAAGCGACTGCCTTTGGCTCAGGTCATGATCCTGGAGTCCTGGGATCGAGGCCCACATCGGGCTCCCTGCTCGGCAGGGAGTCTGCTTCTCCCTCTGACCCTCCCCCCTCTCATGCTCTCTATCTCATTCTCTCTCTCAAATAAATAAATAAAATCTTTAAAAAAAAAAAAAATCTTCTACCAGGCTATTCAGTGTTTAATGAAATTCAATTTTTTTGCCCAGCAAAGAAAACATAGATACATTTCCAAAAGCAAGTATTTTTAAATGCCACATTTTCTCCAGGACGCTGTTTCTTCATTATTAAATATTTTTTAGCATACACAGGTACAGAAATAAACACGGTTGAGATTAAGTAGGCCCACATGACATATACAGAAAGGATACAAGTGAGAGGAAATGGCAGAACAAACATTCATGAAGTTTCACAGGTATGTGTTAATCTGCGCAAAAGGTTAGGATAGGTTCTGCTCTTGACCTAGCAGCTGGGAGTAAGGCCTTTCAAAACTGAAGAAATAACTGGTTAATTTCTCACCCCTGATTTAAAGGTTCTTTTCTTTGTTTCGTGTAACTACTTCATTAAACAGAAGTATCAGAATCACCTTGAGGGGTTTGTTAAACAGATTGCTGGGTTCTGCCACCAGAATTTCTGATTCAGAAGGTCTGGGGTGGGCCCAATAATTTACATTTCTAAAATGTTCCCAGGTGACGCTTAGGCTATACAGCTGGTCCAAGGACTATACTTTGAGAACCACTCCCCAATAGTGAGGAGCACATGGGCTTAAAAGTCTCAAAGCTCAGGGCACCTGGGTGGCTCAGCCATTAAGAGTCTGCCTTCAGCTCAGGTCATGATCCCAGAGTCCTGGGATTGAGCCCTGCATCGGCTCCCTGCTCGGCGGGCAGCCTGCTTCTCCCTCTCCCACTCCCCCTGCTTGTGTTCTCTCTCTCGCTGTGTCTCTGTCAAATAAATAAATAAAAAATCTTAAAAAAAAAAAAGTCTCAAAGCTTTACCCAATTATTGCCATTAAAAATCTTTGGGTGGGAACAAGATCACTGACAAAAGCAGAGAAGGAAAAGGTAACTTTAAAAAAATAAGGCCAGGATAGAGGGATATGAAAGAGTAAGAAAGAGAGGCACAAACACATTACATAAGTAAGCATGACATAAAGAAAGAAGAAAATTGATGCACATAACTGCAAGTAACAGACATTTAGGTTGCTGAAATAAGATTCAGATCTGCGTAAATACAATTCTGTGGGTTCCATCAGTATTATCCAACCATTACACAAGCAGGAACTTTATAATAGTGTAATTTTTTGTTATCAGAACTTGGAATTGCACAGTAAGATTCTTCTCAAATGACAATAACATCCAAGGTCCCTAAACAGAAAAAATATATTTGGATATATATAACCAGAAGGCCACGTGAGACACTCAGTGGAAATTAGACTAACGGTTACCTACGATATTCTAAAGTTTTTACCAACAAAACCAAACCTGACACCGGGATCTTCACTTTCTCTCCTTAACCACCTTGGGGACTGTAAGTGACTTCTATAGCAGCCAGTACACCTAATCCTTTAATAAATCTCCAAATCAATTTAAGAAAATCAAAGGCCTTCCCTAAATCCTGGTAGCATACATCAACTTAACTGAATGTATCACACACATAAAAGATGGGGTTCTTAGAGCTCTCAGGAAACTGACCACCTAACTGAAAAGTTCAAAGAAACACAAGATACTATGAAAGGCAAAAGAAAAAAAAATTCAAATTCACTGAATTGTTACAGAAGGCCACATGCTAAAAGGAAAGAGGGTGGATTTTCCTCCTTTTCCATATCAACCTACACTCTGTATATATGTCCACCACTCTTTGAAGGTGGTGGATAAAACTTTAAATTTGTGAGATAAGATAAACAGGTAAGTGAAAGAGAATCACTATCTCAGAAGTAGTAAATGCAAGTTCAAATGTAGAAATGACATGAGCAGTCTATAAGAGATATAAAAATAATTTTCAAACAATATCCCAACTCACAACTTTTGCAGACTCAGAAAATATGGACCAGCCTTTTTCTTATTAAGCAGCAACACTATACTTGAAAATGATGAACTTAAGTAACCAGAACACATCTAATACCAGGGCTATAAAACGGGTGATTTATAATTTAAACTAAGATTCTTCCTTTCTAAAACTTGAGTTCTTGTAGGCCCTAACTTAATACTGTCAAAACACTGGGGTCATATAAAGTTGTACTACAGTTTTTTTGTACTGCATAAACACAGCAAACGTTGACCAAACATATCAGTAGAATAAAAGAGCATACATTAGATCCATGCCGGCCAAGAACTTCCCATTCACCACTGGTAATTGCTATTTCTTCTTTGACAGGACACTTGAAATCACCTAAAGATAAACATAGTTATCATTCAGCACTCTGTATCAGACTATAAGCAAATGAAACAACGAAGAACATTACTCTAAACCTCTTTTTTCCAAAAGCACATTAAATAATTTAAGTTATAGCTGGGGTAATGAAAATGTTTTGAAACTAGGCATGGGTGCTGACTGCACAACACTGTGAATGTACTAAATGCCACTGTTTATCTTATTTTTCTTAATGTTTAATTTAAATTTTTTTTTAAAAAAAGTAATCTCTACACCTAATGTGAGGCTTGAACTCAAGACCCTGAGATCAAGAATCATATGCTCCACCAACTAAGCCAGCCAGGTGCCCTGCCACTATTCATTTTAAAATGTTTGTTCAAGGGGCGCCTGGATGGCTCAGTTGGTTAAGCGTCCGACTCTTGATTTCAGCTCAGGTCATGATCTCAGGGTTGTGAGATTGAGCCCCGAGACAGGCTCTCCTCAGTGGGGAGTCTGCTTGAGATTCTCTCTCTCCATCTCCCTCTGTCCCTCCCCACCCATAAATAAATAAATCTTTAAAAAAAAATAAAATGTTTAAAATATTCATTTTAAAGTGGTTAATTTAATGTTATGTGAATTTCACCTTACTTTTAAAAAAGTCTATAGTTAAAAAAATTCCAAGTTATGAGTCTTCACAATACAATGGAATAATGGTGGAAGGATCCATGTAAAATCAAGTAAAAACAGCAAAATAGATTCTGATGGCAAAGCCAGAAAAAAACTCAAAAGCAATTGTATTCCTAAGAGCTAGAAGTCTAATGGGTTGACAAGGCATTTCCTCTAGAAATGCAACAAACTACTTAAAAAGCCACAAAAGAAGAATTTTTATACAATTGTTCTTCATCTGCCAAAAAATAAACTGGGTATTACCACAGTAAATGCCAACATGCCCCATTTGTCTTTATGAGATTCTGTCTGGGTAAAGAAAACTCTCGGTGGCCAGTGGCCGAAGGAGGAGGTTAAAAAATGGAAACCATTTCTCTTTGCCTAGTAGCACTGTGGGAAGAGACAGCTGGGGACGGATTATACGATGGTACAGGGTCTTAACTAGGGTCCCTGTAAGGTTAAAAAAGTTGATTTATTTTTTCTTAAGACACAAAAATTCAACTTAGTACTTTAAATTTTATGTCCAGGAAATAAATACTATTTAATATATATATAACAAGTACTAATTGTTTCACATTATAGCCACTTGAGGAAGAAGAGGGAAGAGGAAGATAAAGTAGATACCACGGAAAAAGGAAAATTTGGAGAAAGAAAGTCTAAGAAGAAAGGAGGGGAAGGGAAAGAAGAGGTAGATAAACTGAGGGGTCCAGAAAGAGACACTGAGAGGGAACAAAGAGGCTAGGCTTCAGGGATGAATGTTAACTGCCTACACTCTTCAACAGGAGTTTATAATTTTAAGTTACCAACATTTTATTACTGTTCCCCAAATATTGTTTTAGTTAATTAATTATTATTCACAGCTCTTTGACCATTCTTCATCACTAAAATTTCTGGAGGGTGCCTAGGTGGCTCAGTTGGTTAAGTGTCTGCTCAGGTCATGATGCCAGGGTCCTGGGATTGAGTCCTGCACTGGGTTCCCTGCTCAGTGTGGAGCCTGCTTCTCCCTCTCCCCCAACCCCTCCCCACAGCCCGTGTAGTAAAATTTCTGGAATTTCGTAAGTGGATTTAATTTATGAACAACAGAGGAGCTGGTAAGGGCAATTTCACACTAAGGCTCTCAAGGAAGAAATTCATCATCTTGGATATACAAGATGCAGTCTGCCTTAAAAAAATTAGGCTAAGTAAAGGAACAGAGTCATAGGCAGTATTTATTTTGTTAGTCCTAAGATGTAGCTCATGTTTCCCAAATAAGAATGATATTTAAAAGGCCTTGTTGAGAAAAACATGCAACCCACTTGAAAAGTTGGCAAAGGATTCAGACAAACACTTCTCCAAAGAAGATATACAAATGGATAATAACACATGAAAAGATGTACAATGTTACTAGTCATTAGGGAAATGCAAATCAAAGGCACAATGGCATACCACTTCATACCACTTCACTAGGATGGCTATATCCAAACAAACATACAAATAAACAAACCACATGGAAAATAACAAGTGTTGACAAGGATGTTGATGAACTGGAGCCCTTGCGCACTGCTAATGGGAATATAAAACGGTGCAGCTGCCACAGAAAAGAGTATGGTGGTTCCTCAAAATATTAAAAATAGAACTGCCGTATGATCCAGTAATTTCACTTCTGGGTATACACCCAAAAGAACTGAAAGCAGGGTCTCAAAACAGGTATCTGTACACCCATGTTCATAGCAGTATTAGTCACAACAGCCAAAACATGGAAGGAACCCAAGTGTCTGTAGACAGATGAATAGAAGACACAATGTGGTCTATACACACAGTTGAATTTATTCAGCCTTAAAAATGAAAGACATTCTCACATATGCTATGACGTGGATAAAACTTGAGGACATTATGCAAAGTGAAGTAAGTTAGACATAAAAGGGCAAATACTGTATAATTCCACTTATATGAAGTATCTAGAGTAGTCAAAATCAGAGAGACAGAAAGTAGTTGTCAGCGGTTGAGGGGAGGGAGCAATAAGCTAAACTGGGTATTATTTACTGCATAGCTTCAGTTTTGGAAGATGAAAAAAGTTCTGGAGGTAGATGGTAGTTAATGGTTGCATAACAATAGAAACATACTTAATGCGACTAAACAGTACACTGAAATAGTTAAAATGGTAGATTTTGTGTATATTTTGCCACAATTTAAAAAATGGCTGTTGAGTCTGTTATGTCACAAATGGCATTTAAGCATGTAACATTATCATAAAGTGCCTACCATTCTAAAACAAACTCTATATTATTAAAGTAGAAAACTATAACTCAAATAAAAAAACAAAAACAAAAACAGGAGAACTACTGGATATACCATTTCACTTTTTCCAGGCTTACATGTCCATTCTGTATTACATTTCCCAGAAGGAAAACCATCACTTTTTAGAGAGAAATTAATTCCAGCTGACACAATATTTAATTTCACTTTGGACAGCATAATTATATCAATCTGAAGAGCTATAACCATATTAACTTCAGTGTAGATGCAGACAGTATTAAACCAAAAAAAATAGGAGGGGCGCCTGGGTGGCTCAGTCAGTTATGTAGCCAACTCTTGATTTCTGCTCAGGTCATGATCTCAGGGTCCTGGGATGGAGCCCCATGTTGGGCTCCCTGCTCAGCAGGGAGTCTGCTTCTCCCTCTCCCTCTGCTCCTCCCCCTGACTCATGCTCTCTCCCTCACACTGGTGCTCTCTCTCATAAATACATGATCTTAAAAAAAAAAAAACATAGTATGTAAAAAAACAAAACAAAACTAGGATGTAAAAATATCTAAAAACCAAATAACATTTTAAAAACAGCTTTTTAAATCTAAATATGACTTGGGCTCACTTTAAACAAATTAAAAATTATAGTCAAGGCAAAAGTAGAAAGCAAAAACAAGTAATTCCATTCCCAGAGATTACTCACTATTAATAGTTTCTTACATATCCATCAAGAACTTTGTCCTGTGATTTCACATATGTATTTATATTTTAGCTTAACTTACGTATTAAGTTTAATGAAGCAAGTACTGATGCTTATAAAGTATATAAAGTATACAAAAGTGACATTATATTACCTTGCCCCTCCCACTTTCTGCCCCCAACATATATATATATATATTTTCTAAATAAAAAAGGATTTCTTACTTGGGGCAGGCAGCCCACCACTGGATCGTTTATATTTGCTCTCCTTTAAAATGGATGTGATTTTGTATAAATGACGGAAACCTGTTTTGCATTCAGAGGCAAAAATAAATTCAATTTCATCTTCATGACTTTGGGGAAAAACATGAAAGATGTCATGGATCTGTAAAATGAATAGCTTAATTTACTATACACATTAATGAAAATACTACATAAACAATTCAATTAAGTTAGAGAAAGAATTACTTGATAAATACATTCTGAAACGTAAATAACTGTCAGTGCTAGGGGGTACTGTGTATTTACAATATAGATTTTGTCTGGTCCTTTCAGATTTATCTCACTTTAGTCATAGACTTCATCCATTGAGAAATAAATGTTCCCTATGGTGAAAAAAGAAAAATACGACCAAAAGCTTTTTCTTACTCATCTCTATAATCCTTTGAAACACGGCATGAGGTTTAATGATATAAATCTTATTACAGAATCTTACTACTTATTCTTATCCAAAATCTTACTACTTTTCTAAAGAGAAATATTGTAACAGTTGAAGGGTGAATCATATAAAGCCTGTACTCAGCCAGGAAGTGATCTGGCTTTATTTATTTTGTATCTTGTTTAAGTTTTTTCCACTAAATTGGAAAATGAAAAACTCAATCCCAACTGGTAAATTTTGGTATAGTTTGCCAACTTAAAAGAGAAAGTCTCTTCTAGACTTCTACTGAGGTCCTCCTAAGAGGCACTGATGAGGCTGTTTTTCAATACATGATGTGTCCAGGAACAAGGGCAAATTTGCAACCAAGGAGATAACGTTATCTCCTTGTCATGTCAGTGACATCTACTTTCTATCTACAAACATTCCAATTTGAAATGTTCAAACTAAGCAAATAACGTTCCTGGTTACTCTGAATTTAAAAATTCGTTTGGATAGTTTTCTATAAAACTTCACTTGCTTTAGCATTCTGAGAAAATATATAACCAAGTACAGGAAAGCATACATACATTTATCCAGATGTCTGTTGTTTCTTCATAGATAATTAGTGGTGTCACGGAGTCAGGCACCAACTCGATGAGTCTCTGTCTTTCCATGGCATCATCTTCTACTGGGATAAATAATTCAGGTGAGATCAACACTATCTGTAGGCGAGTTTGGGAGCGATCTAGTAGAATGGACCAAGCACTATTTAAACAAACAAACAAAAAAGCACCAAAAATAAAGCCATCTCTCAGAAAATGAATATTCCCCTACTCTCTCCTCTAGTACCCATCTGTTATTTCTGTAATCACAATTAAAGAATTGCTTTAGTAGATGTTAAATTATCACTTACAAATGGCTAATTAAAAGTATTAGCTTATTCTATACTTATTTTTTAAAGTTAGGCTTGAGTAGAGTTTTTTTTAAAAGTGGTTTTCTTTAAACTCCTAAAACCACAAATGACCTATGAAATTGTTTTTTCCCCTTAGTGTCAACAATTGGCGGCCTTGTGAAACTCCTGTTGTCTACCTTAGGAACTATATGTAATCACCTTCACAAAACTACGAAAAGTTTTGCTTAAATTATATAATAAAAAAATATAGACATTCTTATACGTGAGCCCTAAAGTCATACAATTTAACCACAAATAAACACTGAAACCATGACTGGCCATGTAACAGACAGAATGAAAATGCAATATGCCCCTATACTTACAGGATTACGAAATCCACAAGCCCACTTAGCTCAGGAAAAGTTCTCTGTGCAGAAATAACTACTCTGCAAATTTGCATGTGAAGGCATCTCCAACTGAAGGGCAAGCCTAGTAACATAAACATTTCTAAAGTTCTGGATTCTAAATTACGTATAAAGAAGTGACAATTTAACATACGCACTATTTTCCCTCTGGAGTCCATCCAGCTCTGGCAATATATTCAACTCCTTCAAACAGAATCTCAAAAGGTTGAATTAGTTCCTTATCTATGACATCGATAATCTATTAAAAAGGAAAAAAAAGGAATCGAGTTACAGAAGATTTAGATCAGTAACTAGTTTACTAGTCAACCTAAATCATCATCTTTAACAGCATGACATTTTTTCAGACTCAGGTATTTAAAAAGGCATGAGAGATACAGCAAAACCAGAAGTAAGTTATGGGTTACCTACACTGGTGTGCTCTTCATGCCTAAAAAAGTTCTAAGCACAAGAATTAGCACAGTCTAAAAGTCTTTTACCATGAGTTTATATATACTAACAGAGCCCTTGTTAATAACTGGTAAAAACAGGTTTTAATCACTTTATTTAGACTCTAGTTATCAAAGAAAAATAATAATCCCTAGTTCCTTATATTTTAGCCGAAAATATGATTTGTGTAATATATTAGTGAAATGGCCCTAAGTAAACAAACTTTTTTCCTTTAAAAATCTAGCCAACACAAAAAAGTTTGTCTGTTTATTTATTTTTAAAGATTTTATTTATTTGAGAGAGAGCATGAGTGCGGGGAGGAGCAGAGGCAGAGGGAGCGGGAGAAGCAGACTCCCCGCTGAGCAGGGAGCCTGACATGGGGCTCAATCCCGTGACCCTGAGATCATGACCTGAGCCGAATGCAGACACTTAACCGACTGAGCCACCCAGGCACCCAAAGAAGGAAGTTTTTTAAAAAAAGGCAAAGGATCTGAATAGATAATTCTCCAACGAAGATCTACCAATGGCCAATAAGCACATGAAAAGATGCTCAACGTCATTAGCCATCAGGAAAATTTAAGTCAAAATCACAATGAGATACAATTTCAAACTTACTAGGATGGCTATAATAAATAAGACAAACAGTAGAAGGGTTGATGAGGATGTGGAGACTGGAAACTTCACACAATGGGAATGTAAAATAGTGTAACCATTTTGGACAAACAGTCTGGTAGTTCCTCAAAAGGTTAAACATGGAGCTATCATATGACTGAACAATTCTACTTCTTGGTATCTCTCAAGAGAAGCGAAAACATACACACAGATTCATGGTTGCATTATTCATAACAGCCAAAAGGTGGAACACCCTAATTGTAACTGATACGTGGGTAAATAAAATGTGGTATAGCCACACAATGGAATATTACTGGGTGCTAAAAAGCAAGAAAGTGCTGGGGCGCTTGGCTGGCTCAGTCGGAAGAGCATGCGACTCTTTATCTCAGGGTTGTGAGTTCGAGCCCCATGTTGGGTGTAGAGATTACTTAAATAAATAAATAAAAACAAAAACAAAAAAAGGCAAAATAGTGCTGATACATGGTGCAATACAGATGGATCTTGAAGACATGATGCTAAATAAAAGAAACCAGACTAGATACTGTATGATTCCATTTATATGAAGTGCCCAGAATAGGCAAATCTACAGACAAAAAGTAGATCAATGGCTGCCCAGTGCCAAGGGACATATGAAGGTTGGAGAGTGATGATTAAGGGATGTGGGGTTTCTTGTGGGGTGATGAAAATGTTCTAAAATTGTGGTAATGGTTGCATAATTCTGTTAATATACTAAAAGCCATTCTAAAACTTTAAAAGAGTAAACTGTATTGTATGTGAATTATATCTCAATAAAGCTGTTAAAAAAAGTCTATCAGAGAAGACTGGGTTTTTGTTTTGTTTTTGTTTTTTAAGTAGGCTCCACACCCAGCATGGAGCTCAATGCGGGGCTTGACTCACTGCCCTGATATCAAGACTTGATACGAGATCAAGAGTCAGATGCTTAACCGACTGAGCCACCCAGGTGCCCCAAGAAGACTATTTTTTAATTAATCTTGTATGCAGTCAGCTTATAAGCATTCTACTATCCAAATGGAAATCAGAAATACAAGAGAAATGTGGGACATCCAACACAGAAGGTAAGTCACTGGTCAATGACTGCTATTTTTAAAATATGGATCTGAAGAATTAACAATGGCAGAGAGGAAAAACTTTTGGAAAGGAGTGGTAAATATGCATATCCCTATATTCTTGTCTTGGGAACCAGCAAAAAGTTTCCAAAGCATGGCCCACAGATCTCAGCAAGTTAAATGAGTTCAAAAAATTAAAAAGTATATCTAGGGGCGCCTGGGTGGCTCAGTTGTTAAGTGTCTGCCTTCGGCTCAGGTCATGATCCCAGGGTCCTGGGATCGAGCCCCGCATCAGGCTCCCTGCTCAGCGGGAAGCCTGCTTCTCCCTCTCCCACACCCCCTGCTTGTGTTCCCTCTCTCACTGTGTCTCTCTCTGTCAAATAAATAAAATCTTTAAAAATAAAATAAAATAAAAAAATAAAAAGAATACCTAAGATATCTACTAGACTGACTAGTTAAGTGACATAAATCAACTCAACATTTCATACTTACCCTTCCTTCAGTATCAATCATTATTTCTGACATCTTAAAGGTGACTTTTGGATTTGCTGTGCCTTTAGAAAGAGACATGAATTGTAATGAATAATCAAAATTATTCAAACTAATTTTGCTAGATCAATCCCCTTTATACTTTAAGTCAGGAATATTGTAGAGTCAGGGCTTTACTGTATAAGAATCTCAGAACTCCAACTCAAATTCATAACTCTCAACATTAGTATCAAAAGAAAAAAAAAAAGAGACTGGAAAACATCAAGAGTCAATATGAAATAAATAAAAGAAATTCTGTGTCATTTTGTAATTGAAATGTTAACAGCAAAATAGAAAAAAAATTAGTGACTTATTAAATAATCCCTTAAAAATCCTTATTTCCTAGCAAAAACTCCTCTTTTTTCATTCCTTGAAGTAACCAGCTTTGTGTACTTCCCAACCTTTGAAAAGAATTAAATAAGATCACCCTATAATTAAGAAATCTACTTCAGTGATACTTAATGAATAACCTACCTTTACTAAGGCTGTAAATGACTAATGTTGACCATACCTCTGGATGATTGCAGAGAATCTTGTTTGGAAAGCAGAAATGAGTAAATATAAATGTCAATGGTATATCGTACCTGTTTTAGGATAACGGAATGAATCTGCCCTCCTTGTTTCCAACATAGGGGATGTAACATGAATAATTTCCACCTCAGATTCATCATTTTCTTCATATAGAATTCTCAGAATTTTGCTGCCACTGGGAGCTTTTAAAAAGGAATTTAAATACTGAAAATTTAGAAGAATTATTCCAGAGAGTAATCATAACTGACCATTCCCTCTAGTACTCTATTTCCCACAGTGAAAAATAATTTATGTATAAAATACACTGCCTTTTGTATAGTGTATGAAAGTATCACTAGTCTTTGCACTAGAAAGGTGAGTTACTGGGGCGCCTGGATGGCTCAGTCGTTAAGCGTCTGCCTTTGGCTCGGGTCATGATCCCAGGGTCCTGGGATCGAGCCCCACATCGGGCACCCTGCTCGGCAGGAAGCCTGCTTCTCCCTCTCCCACTCCCCCTGCTTGTGTTCCCTCTCTCGCTGTGTCTCTCTCTGTCAAATAAATAAATAAAAATCTTTAAAAAAAAAAACAAAAAAAAGAAAGGTGAGTTACTACTAAACCACTTTTGCTGGTTAAAGGAAGGCAAAACCTGGAGATAATTATGTACATATACATATATATATGTATATATATTTAAAATTTAAGTAGGCTCCATGCCCAACATGGGGCTTGAACTCATGACCCAGTGATCAAGAGTCATATGCTCTACTGACTGAGTCAGCCAGGTACCCCTGTACCTATACATATTTAAAACAGGGGAAACACACTTATGAAGGACTTCAGTCCAGGTATACCTTAAATGCATTCCTTGTTGAAAAACGGATTACTCAATTATATTTATAATATTTCCTATAACAAAATAAATGTTATTTTTAAAAAAAGATTTTATTTATTTATTTGAGAGAAAGAGAGAGAGCAGGGGGGACAGGCAGAAGGAGAGGGGGAGAGAGCCGCAAGCAGACTCTGTGCTGAACACAGAGCCCGATGTGGGGCTCCACCCCAGGACCCTGAGACCACGACCTGAGACAAAATAAAGAGTTGGACACCCAACCAACTGCGCCACCCAGACACCTGAAAATAAATGCTATTTAAATAGAGTCCAGTTTTCTTTTAATGGTTTCTCTAATTCATGTCAAAATCTTGTTCTAACAAACACAGTTATGGCAAAACATTTTACATCTTAAAATTGAATGTCCAAATCTAAGACGTGGCTTAAAAATAAGTACTTTTCATGGTCCCTTAGAGAAATGTTCAAAATACAAGCTGCTGGGGCACTCAGTCAGTAAAGCGAGCAACTCTTGATCTCGGGGTTGTGAATTCAAGCCCCACATTGGGCAAAGAGCTTACTTAAAAAAACAAAAATGGTAGCTGCAATCCATTACTGCATCATGAAATCTACTAATGGGTAATAACAAACATTTAAAATATACAACGAACAAAATATATACAATATCAGAGTGCATTACACATAAAGGTAAGTATTGCTTCATGAAATTTTTTTTTTTTTTAAGATTTTATTTATTTATTTGACAGAGAGACGCAAGTGAGAGAGGGAACTCAGCAGGGGGAATGGGAGAGGGAGAAGCAGGCTTCCCACTGAGCAGGGAGCCTGATGCGGGGCTCGATCCCAGGACCCTGAGATCATGACCTGAGCCGAAGGCAGACGCTTAACGACTGAGCCACCCTGAAATTTTAGTTTTTGTATACAATATGAAGTATTAGGCTAGAATGTAAAGCCAATTTCTAACTGGATCTTCAGAGAAAGCTGTTTCACAGGCAATAAAATACTTGCAAATTCATCCAGAAAAGGGAGGAATTTGTGCCTTTTTCTGATCCCTTCATACACTAATTTGGCCATATGTTTATGCAGACACTCTAGTCAATCCTACGTTTTTTGTTTTTGTTTTTTTAAAGATTTTATTTATTTATTTGTCAGAGAGAGAGAATACAAGCAGGGGGAGCTGCAGGCAGCGGGAGAAGCAGGCTCCCTGCTGAGCAATGAGCCCAATGTGGGACTCAATCCCTGGGCCCTGGGATCATGACCTGAGCTGAAGGCAGACGCTTAACCAACTGAGCCACCCAGGCATCCCAATCCTACGTTTTTATAGCAATGCATCAGGGTATAGTTTTTTATTTTGTCACCAATATTGCCACTAAGACCAGCCTCTAGATGAAAGATTGGAAGAAAGAGTTGAAGGACCAGAGGCACTTATTTTTATTAGAATTCATCATGGTGGGATACAGCCTATATATTCTTTTTTTTTTTTTTTTTTTAAGATTTATTCATTTGACAGACACAGCGAGAGAGGGAACACAAGCAGGGGGAGTGGGAGAGGGAGAAGCAGGCTTCCTGATGAGCAGGGAGCCTGATGCGGGGCTCGATCCCAGGACCCTGGGCTCATGACCTGAGTTGAAGGCAGATGCTTAAGGACTGAGCCACCTAGGTGCCCCCAGCCTATATATTCTAAATAACTACTGGTAGGATCCAGTCTTCATGACTTCATAATCTACTATTCAGGACTTAGCATCTGAGCACTTAACTAACTGGCAGTTCAATCTCATAATACTTTAATTAACTTATATTATTTTGAACCCCCTTACTTGTTTCAGCTTCTGGACACCACCAGTAGCCAGAATATCTATCAAATTCTTCTTGAAGAACAAAGGTAGCAACTCCAGCTGATCTGGGATCTTCTTCCATGTTGGCTAGCTCTAGACAAACATAAACAGCAAAATTATCACAGGAAGTTGTCTAACTTTTCATAGGTACTAAGCACAGTTAGTTTATTTTGAAATGCAACTGTAGTACTGTGGTGAACTCAGAAGCCAAATGGACTGGATATAAATCTGAGCTCCATCATGTACTGACTGACCTTGGACAAATCATCCAACCTCATTCCACTGCGGTGTCCTGTTTGTAAATGGGAGTAACAATGTACCTCATAAGGTTGTTAAGATTAAGTGAGTTAATTCACATAAAACACTTAGAACAAAGCCTGAACCAAAATATGTGCACCATAAATGTCAGTTATTATTTCCCCATTTAGCTAGGATCATGGAAAAAAAGAACACATGGAAAGGGTCACAGTGACTTGTAACTTCTACCCAGAAAAGTCCAACTTTATGAGTCTTTTTTTTTTTTTTAAAGATTTTATTTATTCATTTGAGACACAGAGATACAGAGAGAGAGCATGAGCAGGGGTAGAGGGAGAAGCAGGCTCCCCGCTGAGCCAGGAGCCTGATGTGGGGCTCGATCCCAGGACCCCGGGATCACGACCTGAGCCAAAGGCAGACGCTCAACCATCTGAGCCACCCAGGCACCCCTAACTTTATGGGTCTTACACATCAAGTAATCTTCATCATTCCCCCTCCCCTTCCTCCAGTCAACCAGAACATTTCAACTTTTATATGTTTTACACTTTCCAGCAAATAGTTTGAAGAGAACTCTTGCTTTAAAAATAAACCCCCCAGGATGCCTAAGTGGCTCAGTCAGTTAAGTGCCTGCCTTCGGCTCAGGTCATGATCCCAGCGTCTTGGGATCAAGCCCTGTGTCAGGCTCCCTCCTCAGCAGGGAGCCTGCTTCTCCCTCTGCCTTTGCTGTTCCCCCTGCTTGTGTTCTCTGGCACACACACACACATACTCTTTGTCAAATAAATAAAATCTTAAATAAAAAAAAAAAAGATTTCATGACATGAAGAAATGTTTGTAATATACTTGGATTAAAAAAAGCCCTATTACTAAATGGCATGTACACTATAATTTCATTCATAAAAATGTTAAACATGTATTTTAAAAAGTGTTGGGATATAAACCAAAATGTGGTTCTCTCCAAATAGTGAGACAGACTACCGAGAAACATTTTTTAAAAATTGCTTTATAATTTACAAAATCTTAGGTGCACTGTTTGTGAAAAATGTATACACTTGTGTAACGAACCACACCCTGTCAAGACATAGAATATTTCCAACACCCAGAATGTTTTCTCATGCCTCTTCTCAGTCAATGCCCATTCTCACCCCCAGAAGCAAACACTGATCTGATTTCTGTCACCGTAAGTTAGTTTTGCATATTCTAGAATATCATATAAGTGAAGTCATACACTTCGTCTGCTTTTTGAGATTCACCAATATTGTTACATGTATCAATAATTCATTCCTGTTTATTGCTTGGTGGTATTCCATAGTATACCACAGTTTTTTTGTGTTTTTTTTTTTAAATCCATTCACCTGTTAATGGGTATCTGGGCTGTTACTATTGTCAGTTATTGGCAATATGAATAAAGATACTATAATCTTTCTTGCATCGGGATCTTTGTGGGTGTATGCTTTCTCTTGAATAAAGACCTAGGAGTGGAATGACTGGGCAGTATGATAAATGTTTAACTTTATAAGAAACTGTCACACAGTTTTCCATAGTATTTGTATTATTTTATATTCTTACTAGCAATGTATGAAAGTTCCTCTCCAACATTTGTGTTCTTAATCTTTTTCACTTTAGCCAGTCTAATAGGTGTATGGTAACATATCATAGTGATTTCAATATTATAGACAAGTTTCAAAGTATTATTTTTGGTTATCTGTATTTTCTATATATTGTCTAAAACAAATATGCAACATGAGCCAATAATCCCCTATCTAAAAATTTTGAGTCCAGAAGTGTTTGGAACTCAGAATTTGGGGGATTTTTCATATTTATCATATATCTACCATATAATTATATAACATCTCTGGCAGGGTAATTAAATACCCTGTAATTGAATACACTAATATTCTTGGAGCAAACTTATGAATAGACACACTAAGTAGGATTAAGATTATAAATAGCCACAGGTCAGTTCAGGGCAGGTTTTGCCACCAAATGAGTTTTATCTCCGAGCCAGTGAAAACTAAGCTCAGTTTTCTTTTCTTTTCCTTTTTTAAGATTTTATTTATTTATTTGACAAAGAGAGCAAGAGAGCAAAAGCATGGGGAGCAGCAGAAGGAGAGGGAGAAGCAGGATCCCCGGTGAGCAGGGAGCCCAATGCGGGGCTCGATTCCAGGACCCTGGGATCATGACCTGAGCCAAAGGCAGACGCCTAACCATCTGAGTCACCCAGGCACCCCTAAGCTCAGTGTTCAACAGTTTTTTTGAATTTTGGAATTAATGATATAGGCAAAACTAGTGTTTGGTTTTCTTGGATCTTTCAACTACCCCAAAGTTATACCCACCATACTGTTTCATATTTGTTCTCTTTTGGATGTGAGAAGAGGTACCACTCATTTCTATCTCCCTTTCACTTACTATAGACCTCAATTATTAAGAGTTATTTATTAAATGAATAAAAGGTATCACTTTGTTCTTCTGATATGTCAACATATCATTTGAGAGTAGAGGCTGGTACTGTATTACTTTTACATTCCTTTTCATACTAGGCAGAAAATAAACACATGCACATGCTCACTGACTAACCCTATTAAAAGCAGACTTTCACTTGGAAATTTACTGTAAGCAGAGTGAAGATGCTTACTCTGTACCTACCTTTCTACTTAAACACATCGCTCTTACTATGTTTCAGACACCATCCTAAACACTTCACAAATATGAACTCATTATAACCTCATAAGAGCACTATAATAACATGCCTTTTTAGATATGGAAACAAAGAGATCAGTTAAATAACTTACTCAAGGTCACAGAACTAAAAAATGGTAGATCTAGAATTCAAACTAGAATGGTTCTAGACTGCATTTTTAACAAGTACATTAATCTTGAAAATAATAAACATACCACATACCCATATGCACAGAAAGGAAAATAATAAGAACAATACTACAGCATCCGGCAGGGTGCCAGTGCTTTCTACTTTAAATTCTGTCAATTCTTTTTTTTTTTTTTTAAGAGAGGGAGAGAGAGAGAGATAGGGGCAGAGGGAGGGGGAGAGAGAAAGTCTTAAGCAGGCTCCACGCCCAGCACAGATCTCACAACACTGAGATCATGAATGACCTGAGCTGAAATCAAGAGTTGGATGCTTAACCAACTGAGACACCCAGGCACCACTAAATTCTGTCAATCTTCACAATAATCCTGTGTGGAAAAACAATTCTACAGAAGAAAAACTAGACTAAAAACGTCCTATTTCTTTCAGTTACTGTCAGAGCTTTGCACTCCCAGCCTCAAGTATGATAACTAGTACATAGTGAGTGTTCAATGTTTGTTGAAAGCATGAATAAATGGCTAGGATTTCCAACGCAGATTTACTAATCATCAACCTAATCCTACTGTCATTGGTAGCCATTCTGATTCCCTTACTCCAAATGGAGACCCAAAACATGTACTTTTCTTTCTTTCTTTCCTTTTTTAAGGATTTATTTATTTATTAATTCAAGAGAGAAAGAGGGAGAGAGGGAGCAAGGGGGAGGTGGTGGGTGGAAGGGCAGAGGACGAGGGAGAAGGAAGAAGCAAGCTCTCCACTGAGCTCAAGATCCTGAGATCATGACCTGAGCCGAAAGCAAGAGTTTAACAGACTGAACCATCCAGGCGCCCCCAAAACATGTACTTTTTACTTAGAAAGTTCCCTAATCCATCCCCTTTTGTCTATCTGATGCTCTATAGAGTTTTAGACCACTTAAACCTAGGTAACTTCAACAGTCAAGTTTTGGTGTCCTTGCCTCTAGTCCTGGGCTTTTCAAATACAACTTTCACAAAGTATCCAGAACAATTTATCTATAATATGACTCTGACCACACCACCCAATTGTTAAAAACTTTCAGTGGACCCCCACATTATGCTAGAGACTCTGTTGATTTACATGAGATACAATTAACCCTGGTCTTGGTTACCTTTCCCTTCTTCTTGACTCATACCTTACGCTTTAGAACCGTCAGACTGCTTTTAACTCCTCACACACCACCTTCTGCATTAAGACCTTTCTCACGTGGTCCCCTCAACCTGGAATGTACTGGTTAATGTGCAGTCATATCTAAGATCAGTTTAGGTGCCAGTTAGGTGTCATCTCTTCTGGGAAGCCTTTCCTGACCACTACCCCACATTGATGCCCTCATAACACCCTTTATCACTCTGTTTTATTATTCATATAGTTTCCTTGAGGGCCTGGGTTATGTCTTATTCAATTCTGTATCCTTAGTTTCTGCCATGTTACCTGGTGCACAGGAACTTAACCTATCTTTGTTGACTAACTGAATAGCTAGAACAGATTTCTTGACTCCTAATTCAGTGTTCTTTCTACCAACGTAAATTGTTCAGGAAAGGGCTTCTTCTGTAACGCTGATTATCCTAATAATGAAAAAAAATGTTTGTTGTCAATACACTATTATTCTAAAATAATTTATTAAGAAAGATGCCCAATAATTCAGTTTTGTGAACATTAGATTAAGCAAGAGTTGAATAAATGAATTTTGAAAGTGACCATCCTTCACTGTGGAACTTACTAATCTTAAACTTTGTTTCATGGTTTCAAAGAAAAAGCAATACACTATTTCCCATCTTCAATGTGTATGAAAGCTTTAGAGGAAAACATCTACATCTTTTCTGTGCTTTGAGTAGTGCTTAGTATTACTATAATCACTTTAATGAAAATTAAATATTTCCACAATATACAATTCTACAAAGTTTTGTTTTTCCTATTATGACAAAATAAATAGGCTCTCCAAAAAGGGGAGATAAATTTTTGTGTATTAGGTTTTTGTTTGTTTCCCAAAAGCAAGATTAATTTTTTTTGAAGACTTCTTTTATTTGCAAGAGAGAGAGCACAAGCAGGGGGAGCTGCAGGCAGAGGGAGAAGCAGACTCCCCGCTGAGCAAGGAGCCCGACATGGGACTTGATCCCAGGACCCCAGGATCATGACCTGAGCCGAAGGCCAATGCTCAACCGACTGAGCCACCCAGTCCCCAATTGGTCCCCAATTTTGGGACCAAAATTAATTTTTTAATTGAAATTTAATTTATTTTATTTTTATTTTATTATGTTAGTCATCATACATTACATCATTAGTTTTTGATGTAGTGTTCCATGATTCATTGTTTGTGTGTAACATCCAGTGCTCCATTCAATACGTGCCCTCCTTAATACCCATCACCAGGCTAACCTATCCCCCCACCCCCTCCCCTCTAGAACCCTCAGTTTGTTTCTCAGAGTCCACAGTCTCTCATGGTTTCTCTCCCCCTCCGATTGCCCCCCCTTCATTTTTCCCTTCCTACTTTTTTTTTTTTTTTTTAACATAAAATGTATTATTTGTTTCAGAGGTACAGGTCTGTGATTCATCACAGTTTTAATGAAACAGTTTTGGGGAAATCCTGGCAGTCTTAATAAGCTAAAGAAACAATCATGTCAGAAGTGCTACAGTGCTATCTGAAAATGAACATTAAAATAAGGTAGCATTATGCAGGTGGTACATACTATTTATCCTCTGTACTTTTTTTAAAGATTTGAATTTAAAATATAAAGGTCGCCTACTATGCCTCAATTTCAAAAAGTGAGCAAAAGCAAAATTTTAAAAATACTTTTCAGAAAAGTAGATTTGAAGAACTATATGTTACCATTGTGCACATAGGTGAGCCTCCTTTCTTCTCTGGTTACAATGTTGGATATCCAAATATCATTGCTATGTATAAAAGCAATCCAGTCTGGATCAGCTGGGCATAATTTGGGATCCATGCGAATGTTGGGACAACTAGTCTCTACTAAATTCGGCCGTAAGGGCTGTTGCTAGAAAAGAAAAAACACTTTTAAGGCAAGTATCAGGCTGATACATATTCATTTGCCAACACCCTTCCTATAAAATGAACAATAATTCCAAGTAAAATGTCAACTATGATAATTACTCCTCAGAAAAATACACTTTTGCATGCCTTAACTTACAAGGACGGATTCTTTTTTCTTTTTACTATGAATTAGAAAGCTAAGGGTAATAGGAAAGTAAATAAAGATTTTTTAAAAGATTTGTTTATTTATTTGAGAAAGAGAGAGAGCGTGAGAGAGAGAGCATTCGAGTGTACACGGAGGGGCAGAGGGAGAAGGAGAAAAGCAGACTCCCTACTGAGCACAGAACCCCCACATCCCACGACCCATGGGTTCATGACCTGAGCCAAAAATGAAGAGTCAGACACTTAACCCACTGAGCTAACCCGGGTGCCCCAATAGGAAAGTAAATAAAGACAATATAACAGCACTTCATAAATTTTGTTATCCAAACCTGTTTAATAGAGTAATTATTGCTTGTTAAATACGTCTATTATTATTTACTGAATATTTATTAAATATTTCAAATTAATTTTACCAATATGAAACAGTTTGCTCATGAAGATTTAACAAAAGCCAGGATCATACAATTCTAAAAAAAGAATAGTTCTAATACTATGTAAAGAATTGCCTGGAGGGGTGTCTGGTTGCTCAGTCATTGAGCATCTGACTCTTGATTTCGGCTCAGGTCATGACCTCAGGGTCATGAGATCAAGCCCTGCATCAGGCTCCATGCTCAGTGGGGAGTCTGCTTGAGATTCTCCCTCTCCCTTTGCCCCTCCCCCACTCATTCTTGCTCTCTCTCTGTTTCTCTCTCAAATAAATAAATAAATCTTAAAAAAAAAAAAAAAAGAATTGCCTGGAATAAAACCAAACATTTAAAACCATCTATTAAGATGGATTAAGTTTTTGGGGTGCCTGGGTGGCTCAGTCAGTTAAGTGTTCAGCTCAGATCATGATCCCAGGGTCCTGGGATCGAGCCCCACATCTGGCTCTCTGCTCAGCGGGGAGCCTGCTTCTCCCTCTCCCTCTGCCTGCTGCTCTGCCTACTTATGATCTCTCTCTCTCGCTGTGTCAAATAAATAAATAAAATCTTTAAAAAAAAAAGATGAATTAAGTTTTTAAGGGAACCAAAATTAGACTGCCTTGTGATAACATTATCCCCAAAATCCCCCTCAGCATTTACTCAGAAAATGGGCATTGAATGCCCTTTACTAAATCTTCCTACACAGCAAGTGTTTTTAGCATTTAAAAAAATTACATATTAATATCAGTGCAAAAATGATTAATTCTTAATATTAGAAATTAATACTCATGTATCTTGTTTTCTTTACTATTAAATTTCTCACTTGGTGGGCAGATACAATTTTTTGGCTTAATTACCTTTCGGATTTGGATGCAAATAACCTTTAGGACCCAAAAACAGATTTAACAAATAGTAACACCAACTTACAGTAAATCCTTGTGGCCCTCCATCTTTTACATGATAAATTCCACTACCAGCTTGAAATAGAAATGTTCCACTTCCTTGGTGATAATCATAGGAAGCAATTCCAACAGTTCCAATGCGTTTTCTTTCTCTTAATAGTTCTTCTTCTCGAGAATACATTCCATAGTCCAGTGTTGCCTAATGCAAAAGGAAAGAGAAGTCACCTACTTCAGTCTTCTGAAAGCTTGCTATTTGCTTTTAGCAAAAAATTTCTAGTGAAATCCTAGCATCTCCCATATTACTGAGTCTACATGTTCAATGACTCCAAAATATGCCAGTAACTCTGAGCAAACTAATTTCAAGAAGTCTGCTGAAAGATTTCCTGGTAGAGGGTCTCTAGATGATTACTGCATATAGTAGAGAACAAGAATTGTCTCATCACCTTGGCTTGGCATTCTAGACCTTCCACAACTTAAATGTAATTGAGCAGTGTTGCATGTAGTTAAGAGCACAGACTCTGAAACCAAGTGGTTTGAATCTAGGCTTTGACACTCACTAGAAGACTGACTTTGGGAAGTAGCTTAATTTCTTCAAAAGTAATTGTTCTCACTTTCAAAATAGTAATATATCATCTACTTCAGCTTTGTGAAGATTAACTTAGATAAAAACATGTCAAGCATTTAGCATAATGACTGGCATAGAGTAAGTTCTCAAGTATCAGCTGTCATTAATACCTTCCTACCACATCTATTAATACTCTTCTAATAAAACCCTAGATCAGGCTGATGTCATTGCATAAAACCCAACATATGAGTTGCTGCCTCCTGGTCTTTGTTTGTTCCACTATCTCCCTTTGAAAGGCTATTTTTCTTTCAAACATCCAAGTTTTACCATTATCCCAAAACTTTAGCTCTGATTCAACCTTGCCAAGGAAAGTTTCCTGATCCACTATGATGTACAGTTATCTCTTCTTTGAATTTTATATAAGAGTTATTCTCTCTTTTACTTATTTGACTATGGTATTGTTTTTCACTTTTTTCAGTATTTCTGACTAGAAATAGATTAAAAAAAACTTAAGAGCAGAATTTGTGTCATTTTGTTTTCCTACTTGCAGCATCTGTTAAAATCTCTCTCAAAGACTATTTGTAATTAATGACTGATGATGATGGTGAGGGGTTTTCCTAAGCTAGAAATATTATTTCATACAGGTATAAAATTGAAAAAGGAATATAAAGAAAACAAATTTAGTAAGTGCTAACAAAAAAATTTACATCCACATTTTCCCTATGAGCTCCTTAATACTTTGAGTATGATAAATAAGGGTTTCTACTATCAAGGATACCTTACAAAGGAATCTAGATGAGTTCACTGGCAGGAATGTATTACTCCAAAACTAAGCTAGCACGCTGAAAGTAAACATTGTTCAAGGATGGCAAATACATGTCTGTACTTGCAAACCTAAAATAATGTTAGGTGAGGATAAAAACGAGACAACCTGGAAATCTTGCTAAAAACCCACCTAGTTTTTTGTATTCATTGTATCACTTTTTTATTAATATTTAATTACATGTATATACATTTATACATGTGTGTTAGGCTCCAATAGAAAAAAACCTGTAAATTCAATGACCATATAGTTTTATTAATTCTAATCTCTTTAAGTATCTTTTTTTTTTTAAAGATTTTACTTATTTGACAGAGAGAGACACAGCGAGAGAGGGAACACAAGCAGGGGGAGTGGGAGAGGGAGAAGCAGGCTTCCCCGAGGAGCAGGGAGCCCGATGCGGGGCTCGAGCCCAGGACCCTGGGATCATGACCTGAGCCGAAGGCAGACGCTTAACGACTGAGCCACCCAGGCGCCCCCCTTTAAGTATCTCTTAAGACTCTTTCCATTGAAGCCAAAAGCAATTTCGAGAATATGATTATATTTTAATTTCTCCCCTCATTCTCCCTGAACGTTACTGGACTTGGTCTGTACTTAATATGTCCTAATACTTAATAATCAGAACACAAGAAATTTCAGAGCTAAGAAATTAACTTTCACAAGAGAACTCTGTATTTATAACTTGGTAATTATAAGATTTGTTATTTGAAAGAATAACAAGCAAGATGATAAAAGAACCCTGAAAAAGATCAATTACGGGGAACAAAGCTCACTTTACCAGATATTTAAAAATTAAAACATGAATAAACATAATGAACAACAACAATGGTACAGAATAGAAAATCTAAAATAGAAAGTCAAATATAGAAATTTATAAGAAAAAAACAGTAGGGGGTGCCTGGGTGGCTTAGTCGTTAAGCGTCTGCCTTCGGCTCAGGCATGATCCCAGGGTCCTGGGATCGAGTCCCGCATCGGGCTCCCTGCTTGGCGGGAAGCCTGCTTCTCCCTCTCCCACTCCCCCTGCTTGTGTTCCTGCTCTCGCTGTCTCTCTCTCTGTCAAATAAATAAATAAAATCTTAAAAAAAGAAAAAAAGAAAAAAACAGTAGGAAAAAGATGGGACTTTTAAAATCAGTGATTACTAATTTAAATTTTAAATCAGAAATACTGCATAGCCACATGCAAAAAAAGATAACAATGGATCCATTTCTCACATATGCCAAATACATTAGAGATTTAAGTGTTAAAAATGAAACCAACTTCCGCTTTTAGCCAAGATGGAGTAATAGGGACTTGGCTTATCCTCCCAGCCGAAACAACTAAGAAAATGAACAAAATACATGAAATAATGTTTTCAAGACACTGGACATTAGACAACAAAGGACAGTGATCTCTGAGAAATGGGAACCAAATGAGGTGAGCCTTACAGCTGTCCCAGTTAACTGCCCTGACAGTTTCCAGATGTTGGCATAAGTAGGGGTAGCCAATGGATCAAAGAAGAAATCACAAAGGAAATCAGAAAATACTTTGAGACAAATGAAAACACCATACCAAAACTTAAGGCACGCAGCAAAAGCAGTGCTCAGAGGGAAACTTACAACTATAAATATCTGCATTAAAAAAGAGATCTGAAATAAAAAACCTAACCTTCCCCCTTAAGACACTGGAGAGAAAGAGCAAACTAAGTCCAAAGCCAGCAGAAGTGAGAAAATAATACAAAATAAGCTGGAAATAAAACAAAGAATAGAAAAACAATAAAGCTCAACTAAACCAAGAGTTGTTCTTTGAAAAGATCAAATTTAGCTAGAATGATAAAAAAAAAAACCCCAACAACAGAAGACTCAATTTACTAAAGTCAGGAATGAAAGAGGGTCATTAGGAATAATTTCACAGAGGTAAAAAAGGTTATAAGGGAATAGTATGAACAACTGTATGCCAACAAACTCAATAATGTAAGTGAAACGGTTAAATTCCTAGAAACACACAAACCACCAAAACTGACTCAAGAAGAAACAGAAAATAGAAACAGACCTCTAATGAGTAAAGAGACCGAGTTAGTAATCAAAAAACTACCCATAAAAGAAAAGCCCAAGACTAGATGGCTTTACTAATGAATTCTACCAAATGTTTAAAAAAATTAATACCCATCCTTCTCAAACTCTTCCAAAGAAAGAGAACAGGAGGAAACACTTTCCAACTCATTTGATGAAGTAAGTATTACCCAGACACCAAAATCAGACAAAGACCTCACAAAAAAAATAAAACTATAGACTAACATCCCCTAGGACTACAGATGCAAAAATCCTCAATAAAATACTGGCAAGCTGAATATAGCAGAATATTAAAAGAACTGCATACAACCAAGTGAGATTTATCCCAGGAATGTAAGCTTGGTTCAACATATAAAAACCAATCAATACAATGCACAATATTAATATAATAACGGGGGAAAAGTGATCTTCTCAATAGACACAGAAAAATCATTTGACAAAACCTAGCACTGTTTCATGATATAAGTGCTCAACAAATTAGGAATAGAGGGGTAATTTCTCAATCTGATAAAGGGCATCCATGAAAAACCCACAGCTAATATCAGTCTTAAAGGGAAAACCTGAAAGTTTTCTCCTCAAGATCAGGAAAAAAAAATGATGTCTGCTTTTACCACCACTATTATAGAGGTTCTAGCTAGGGTTGGAAAGGAAGAAGGAAAACTATTTCTATTTACAGATGACATGATATTATATATGGAAAACCCTTAAAACAACCTACAAAAAATTATTAGAGCTAATAAATGAGTTCAGCAAAGTTGTAGGATACAAGATCAATAAATATAAGTTGCATTTCTATACACTAGTAATAAACAGTCTAAAAATGAAATTAAGAAAATAACTCCATCTAAAATATCCTCAAAAGGAATAAAATACTTAGGAATAACTTTAAAGAAGTACAAGATTTGTATGTAGAACACTGCTGAAAAATATTAAAGATCTAAATAAATGGAAAGATATCCCATGTCCATGGATTGGAAAACTTCAGATTATAAAGATAGCAATACATGCCAAATTGATCTAGAGATTCAAAGAATGGCTATCATATCTGCCTTTTTTCCCCCAAATATGGATGAACTGATCCTAATAGTACTGATATGGAATTTCAAAACAATATTGAAAAAGAGCAGCACTGGAGGACTCACATTTTCAAATTTCAATAGTACAAAGCTACATTAATCAAGACAGCATGGTACTGGCATATGGATAGACTTATAGGCCACTGGAATTGAAATAAGGGCCCAGAAATAAGTCCATACATTTGGGGTCAACTCAATTTCAACAAGGGTGTTAAGACCATTCCATGGGGAAAAAATAGCTTTCCATAAGTGGTGCTAGGACCCACTTATGTAAAAGAATTCCACACGTAAAAGAATTAATGTGGACCCCTATCTCACACCATATACAAAAATTAACTCAAAATAAATCAAAGACCTAAATGTAAGAGCTACAACTATAAAACTCACATATAAGAAAACAGACAAAAATCTGTGTGACCCTGGACTAAGCAACAGTTTCTTAGATATGATGTCAAAAGCACAAGCAATCAAAGAAAAAACAGAATGACTGTACTTTATCAAAATTTAACTGTGTGCATCAAAGAACGTATATTAGTTTCCTAGGACTCCTATAACAAATTACCACAAATTTGGTGACTGAATAAAACAGAAATTTATTCTCTCACAATTCTGAAGGACAGAAGCCCAAAATTAAGAGCTCAGCAGAGGGGCACCTGGGTGGCTCAGTTGTTAGGTGTCTGCCTTTGGCT